TTTGTTTCTTGGTTCATGCCTGTCTTGTTCTAATTTCTCGTGAGAAGGTCTAAGGAAAACTTCTACTGAGTCTTTACAGAGATAAGATGAAGACCATAGGAGAGACTATACAGTTTTAAGGCTTATGGGGAGGGAGTAGCCAGGAAGGCCCAGGTGATATATTGGTATCCACATGATTGACTTGAAAGTCTCCCAATATATCATCAATTAAACCCATTCCTATCTAAATATGGGTATACTTACCCATCTGTGTATCTTATTTCAGATTTAATTCCTTATATGAAGAACAACATCTAGCCTTGCGATCGATATACCTTGCTGGAGGCCATTGATACTAACAATCGATAAGGATCTTCCAAACATTCCGGCTGGCTCACATGTCACTGCTGATATTTTTAGACTTGAGTTTCGATTGATATAGTGGTGTTAATCTTCCAGTCTTCCAGCTCAGGATTTTTTGAAGATAGGATGAAAACTTCCTGGGTTACTTTGCGCATGAGCTTTACTACTGAGTATCCTAAGTGGTTTCCTGCTTTCTCTAATTTAGACTTTCCGGACAGTAGAGGTTGGAACCTACCTAACATACAATCAGAAGTAGGTGGCTTTGATCTTTAAAAGAGAGTGATCTAGCATCTTGTGACCTTTATCATGGTTGGACAGACTCTTTTCTGTATTTAATAATGTGTCAGTGCCATGTCCTGTATCCACTTGCGCCAGACAAAATGACTTATGATGGACCCCAGGTTCTTATAGTACTAAGGAAATACATTCAGATATGTGAGGTGGTCAATAGGAGCTTGTTTATCAATCTTGTCCAATGTGTTTTGCATCAACCAATCAGAGTTGGTGAGATCCATGCTACTCAAAATTTCAGGGTCAAGCTGAAATAAGCAAAATTCCCTAGAAAGCCATGAAAAAAGTAGCTCTGAGAGGCCACAATACTATTTAAAGGATAGGAAAATAAGTCCTTTGATTGGTTTTTAATCTCTATTATTTTCATCATAACTAAGAGGAGGAAGGTACTTCACTTTTGATCATTTTTCCTTTAGGAACTTTCTTGCCGTAGGTAGTAAAGGTGAAAGCTGAACTTTGCAAGCCACAAGAGTTCAGTTTGTTCAAAGGAGATTGTAGAACAGAGGAAGGGGAGGTGAGAGAGTTCTGAGGGAACTCTTTGAGTTGGTTTAAGGAAAATAGTAAGACTTTATTAGCATAGAAGTATTAAAACTTCTTGCAACATCTTTTTTATGTGTGGTCAGAGGATCAGCGGAAAGAGTTATGAGCTATGATCTTAATAAAAATATTAATAATAAATAGAATATATATTATTTCAAAGTTCTATAATATAAAGCTATATTGTATTAATAATATTAATATTGAAATCAATTTATACAAATAATACAAACACAATATTAAAAATTCAAATCTTATCAAATAGTATCAATAAATAACTAGAAGTATTAAATAACAGTTTTAATTTAGTTCAGATAGATACTATATCCACAATTCTATAGTAAATATAGAAAGTTATAAATTATTCAATACATTTAAACAAATACTTAAAAATATAAAATTCTTAAAAAAAAAAAAAGATAACTTTTAAGTAATAACAAATAATATCTATAATTTTTTTGGCTCTTGAAATTAATTTTAATATTGAGAACAAATTTATATACATAATTCCTTCTATATATACAGTAGATCTATCCAATAGTCAAAACTTGTAAAGAAAAATAGAAACCAGTATAGTACTACATTAGCAAATCTTCTATAGAAAATCTTTATAAAAGAATTCAAAGAAATCATCAAGCAAATACTTGCTCAGGCTTATTATTTCCTTCTTAACTATTTAATCAGAAGAAATATTTTATTATTCTATACTTTAGAAATATTTAAGACTGAAACAAAGCAAAAAAATATCAATTTCTCACTTTATAATGCAAACTAAAAAGAGTGACAAAAAAATTAACATTGTTTTGGCTATAATATACAAAATTATGATCTCAACCTTTGCATCATGAAGAAAAAAGACTTAACAAAAAAAAATAGAATCAACAGATTAAATTAGACAAAATTTTTTATCCTATCAAAGAAAGCTATTACTCTTTAGATAAAGTAGATGATCCAATACTAGTCTCTCTTCTAATATAGAATATATATATATCAGTATTACTAAATAAACTTAGCAAACAGAAGTAAGAATAAAAAATATGATAAAGGTTCTTAGATAGCTTTAGTTAAATATTAATTTAATTAAATTTCAAGTTTTTATATTGGACAAAGAGTGTCAGTGATAGAGATGAATCTATATATTAAGGCTGAAGATTTAACAATAGTAGGCTTCTCTACAAAATACAAATCTTCTTTAGGAAGCTTCAGCTTTAGGACTCATTCACTTCAAAGAATATACATAGGATAATAGAAGAAAATAATTAATAAAAAGATCAATCAGATAGAATCTATAAAAAAGCAATTATAAGAGAAATAATAGACTATCTAAAATCTTTTATAAGTAAATTAAAAACAATAGAACTGTTTTTTTTATTTCTTAAAAACAACTATAATTAATAATACAATAGGAAATAAAGCTTACAATAAGAAAAAAGGAGAATATAGATATTAAGGAATTATAAAACTTTTGAAAAATAGAAACCTTAAATAACAAAGAACTCAATACAAAAGTAGACAAGTTAACAATATTAAAATACTATTAAGAACAACAAATAGAGATACTAAAAATAATAGAATATGAATATCAGAGGATTAATAATAGTGGAATAAAGAAAAAAAGTATTAAATTGTATTAATAAAACTAAAAAACAGTTATATAGAGCATGTAATAATTTATTTTAAATTAATCTAAAAACTTAGATAATAAATAGTTTATTCATATTAAAGAAAATATCTTCAGAACAATATTTACTCAATATAAATCAGATAATTGTTAAATTATACTATTTACAAGAGCTGTAATACTTAATTTTTATGATTATATAATGTATATAAAATTTTACTGATCTTATAGCAAGAATAATACAATTTACAAAGGTTATAATATATTATATATCAAAAATTCATTCAAATTAAAAATAAGAAAATATATAGTAGTCTATTTTGTAATACAGTAATTAAAAACTTATATAAAGCATTAAAAAAATATATATTTATTTATAATTACAATCTCAACTGGAATACTGGAAAGAATTTCAGAAAAAGAATAGTATGTTATAAATAAATAACTTAAATAGAAAATATCAGTGATAATAAAGTGCACTCTTATTATAAAACAACTCATATTAGATTTTATTTAAAACAATTAGGTCAAATTGACATTAGAAGCAATATAAGGGTCAATTGGTATACAATATTTAAAAAAAAGGTAGAAATAGAATCAGAAACAAAAAAATACATTCAAAAAGAAAAAAAAAGAAGAAATAATCCTTAATACAACAGATATATCTTTGAGGCAATAGAGAACTTCAAATGTTTTGTCAATGACAAGAAAAGATTATGCAATAAATTAAAAAGCTCATTTTCAAAAAGTGAAAATGATCAAGATCCATTTTATAAAATCTTCAGTAATCTCAAAAGGTTGAATAGTAAAATAAATCTAATTGAGAAAAAAATATACAGTCAAAATAAAATAAGAGAGAAATAATAAAACAATTGTTTTTAAAAGTTGCATCAGTCTAATCAAAGTATATCAAGAGAAAATCAACTCTACAGGAGAAATTGAACTCATCTTGGAGAAGATATATCACTGCAAAGACATTAATAAACATCAACACGATTCTTTTCAATACCATATATAACATATTACTTGATGAACTCATTAGTACAATAAAAAAAACACTATTAACAAATTAAAAAAAGAATATATACTATATAATTAGTGCACTATAAAGAACCCTATATTAGCCAATATCAATATGTACTAGTATAGATTATACAAACTTATAAAAAAACTTCATTGATATTCTGGGTATTAGTAAAATCAAATTAATAAAAAAAACAACAGATTTTACCTTCAACTTACACAAAATACACAAATTCTTTTACAACTGCAACAATAAAAATTCCAGATGATCCAGAGTGAAACTTCTAATTAATAAAAATATCAAAAAGAAGCATTGCACCGTGATTTATGTCACGGGAGTGTACATGAAATAAGGGTAAAATAGGTTGCAAAAAACATCCATAAAGGAATGAGTGCAGTTAAAAAGAAGAGCCGTCTCGGTAAGAGATCAGAATTATTTGGCACTCACTAAGGTTATTAAAAATAATTCGATGTTATGAAAATAAATTTCATGATCAAAAGTTATTAAGAGTGGATGTAAGTTAATTATGGATTAGGGATGCGTACATAAAAATATGGTTTATTCTATTTGACTTGACTTGTACTTGTCTAATATGGAATACAGAGATCTTGTCATTTGCTCAATTACTGAAAGAGCATAGTATGATCTGAGTTCAAAATTTTGTCCAAGTAGTGGTATTGAAGTTATCAGATTTCGGTCTAATTGAAATATAAGGGTGAGATTAAGATTTAATTCATAAGAATCGAATCTAATTTAGAGGAGGTTGTTACTACATGCGGGGTAGCATTAAATATATTCGCAACTTAAGTAAAAAAAGTGATTGAAAATAGATTGGTAAATTTTATTTACGATTCATCTAAAAATATTTGAGAATTATAAGCTAATATTGTGATGAGAAAACAAGATCTTGAATTCTACCGGTTATTGGTCCTGTTGGATTATTATAAAACCATGACTCAGTAGAATTAAAGTTTCTTAATCTAAAGCCATTATAATACTCAGCATGAATACTTTTGCAATTACAATTAAACTTGAATTGTAAACTAGTCAATAATTTTTTAAACAATCCATCAACCAAACGACAATCCGAATGGACAGAAGTAATATAACCTTCTGCGAAAACAGCGCTACAAGGACCTTCTTCATGTTGTATTACATGACTTTTAAAATCGCAATTTTCATTACCTATAATAACGCCGGTTTTGTAGAGTTCTGGATAATCTCGAATATCTAATTAAGTTAATTACGTATCATTAGATTATAATTAATATTTATGACTTCTTTTCTGCATATACTGTACATTGCTTACCAACTCTGCGTATAACATAAAACATGCCCTCTTCGATAGGACGTTCGAGTTCGAGACTACGTTCGGTAAAATAATTGGCCAAATTATTCAAGAACTTATCCTTGCCCTTGTCATCAAAATATACGTGTAAAGGAATGGATTTAAAGTATTCTTTGGCATGAATTGCAGCGACAAATTTAGGTTTGTCATGCTTATCGCATACTGAATAAGTCGTATTTGACTTTTTCTGACACCTCAGAAAACACGTCTCATCGGTAATAGGATCAAAGGCCTGACAAAAATTTTCATTTCTTTCAACTTTATTAGAAGTACAGTATAAAAATATTATTGGTATATAAAATTGAAATTATTAATTATTAATTAGGCTAGTACAACATACGAGAAAAAAATCTTATTCTGCTTTCGTATCCTCCATGTCCTTTGGCCTTGTAAAATTCGCGAGAAGCCGCATTGCTTTCAATCGAAGAATCTTTGCTCATAATAGTAAAATTATGATTTTAGAGATTTCGGAAAGATATTTTTAAAACAAAAATGGCGTGCACGAACCAATGCGGTTATATATTGTAAGGGTAACTGCGCCAGACATATTTGCAACACGCGAGTACGTATTAGGTCATAAATCGCGAGTAAGTATTAGGTCATAAATCGCGAGTACGTATTAAGTCATAAATCACAACCAGCCTCCCGTTGTTTGCGAAATACATAAGTTAAAGACAGCTGCACAAAATGTTACATAGAAGTGATGAACAAATGCAATAGTGGGGTTAGTAATGCTTAGCAGGTGTAGTACGTAAAAGAGAATAGAACATGTATATAAGCATCTCAAATTTAGCGCATTTGTAAAGCAGATTCTTAGATGGGAAAAATAGTAAAGTATCGTTTTAAATATACCGCCTCTTGTTTTATACACTTTGTATGAATGACATTGAATTACCCAATATTATTAATCAAAATATTTCAACAATGTAAGGTTTATAAAACTAGACTCGCATGCTATCATCTAATAAATCTAATAATAGTTGAAAAATCGAATCCATTTATTTATAAAATATGAAATAGTAAAGTTAGCAAATATGAGAATAAATAGAATATTTGAAAGATAGCTGCAAATAATATAAAGCATCGTTGGGATTAAAACAAAAGTATTCACTTATAGTTAATTTAAGATTAATATTTAAATATATAATTATATTGACAATTATTTGTAATATTTCGTTTATGTTATTTTACTGCCTTAATTGTCGTTTACATAAATATTTCTTTTAAAAAACTTCAATTGATTATAATCTAATTTATATTTTAGTGTCAAAATTTAAATTTTAAACTTTTAAAAGTTGAAAAATAAAACAAAATGAAGGTTATTTGTCAATTTATTAATAATTATATTATAAAATTTAAGTTTAAAGTTTAAAAAGGCAAAAAAATTTTTAAAACAAAAGTATATATAATTTTTATATAAATTAACATATTGTATATAATTAAAAAATCAATAAAATATAATAAAATACTTTATAATATATAAAAAATATATTGCAAATGTTTATAAAAAAGTCAATATGTATTTACTTGCAAATGTTTATAAAAAAGTCAATTAAAATTAATAGAAAAGATATTTACTATTAATAATAATAAAATCCAAAAATTTTAATTCTTATAATTTGTTTTTTTGTTTTTTTTTTTTAACCTACAATTATGTCAGAATGACTTGTCTTTATTAAGATACTTGAGAAAATATCAAAATAATCCACAGATCTTCTCATATAACAACTAACTCATATTTGTATATTATTAGTTGAAGGACTATACTATTTAAAAAATATAAGGAGTCCACTAAACCAGTTCAAACTAAATAAAACCAAGTCTCAACTAGGTAATCTAAGTCAGATTTAGAAAACAATATTATATTCTTCTAGTAGTTTGGCATAGTACCTCTAAGTCAATCAAGGTTATTATCAATAGTTTGTCACTATTGATTATCCCAAAAAACAATAAATTGCTAAAGTTGAAACTAGGAAAGGAGAAAAAGAAAAACAATTCAAAGCCCTCCAAAAGATTCTTGCTTTATTTCATAGCCTCTTCTTAAAAAAAGTCTTGCCTGATTGGGATATTCTTTTTTGCTTCATTTGGATCTTGGAAGAAATCTTCTTTTTTTGCCATTTGCAGCATTAGATGAGTCTTTATTTAAGCATGTACTGAATTGGAATAGTTCAAGAGAAACTAAAAAATCTTAGCTTTTACTTCAAGAAGAATTTTCATTACTTGAGAAACTTAAAGAAAAGATGAAATTTCTTTGTGTGGATCCATTTTGCCTTTTAGTATTATAACTGTTTCCTAGAGTCAAATATATATAGTTGGAAGGAACTTCTTCTAAAACTTTTTTTCTATATTACCTATTATATAATAAAAACATATAATTGTAACCAATAAAAGCTTGTTTACTTTTTCAAAAATCAATGTGTTTTATATCAAACAATAATTTTTGGTAAGGATTTGTACTACTCAAAATTTAGGATCAAACTAAGATAGGCAAAATTCTCTAAAAAGCTATGAAAATAATGGCTTTAAAAGGCCCACAAGTAATTGAAAGAGAAAAAATAAACCCTTCTATTATCAAAAATCTTTATATCTCTCTCACTTCAAAGATAAAGAAGACCTTTATATACTTCATTATTGATTATTTTTCCTTTGAGAACTTTCTTACTATTGGTATCAAAGGTATTACTTGACTTGTTCTTGATCAACAAAAGTCAAGTTTTGATCAAAAAGAATTGTAAACAAGTAAGGGAAGGTGGAGGTAACTCTTGAAATCACTTTTCAAGGAGTTTTAAGAAAAGTGTTTAAGATTTTTTAACAAAGAAACAAAAAAAACTTCTTGTGAACATCTTTTTTGTATATAATTAGAGAATCAGTGAAAATTTAATTCTTATAATTTGTTTTTTTTTTTTTAACCCTCTATCAGGCTAGTTATGTGTGCTTTATTAAACATTTGTAAACTGTATATATAACATGAATCATTAAAGCTAAAAAACGCTAACTAGCTTACTTGTCTTTGTAATTACTACTCTAAGTGCAACTTTGGAAGTGATTTATCGCTCCATTAGGAGTTCAGGTGAAAACTCTTCCAACTTTTAATATCATTGCCTACAGGTCACTACTGCAGATCACTCTTTAAGTTTTGACATTACTCAAAACCCAACCATCTCATCTCAAATCTAACTCTTTTAATAAGATATTCTTTAAGTCTTTATCTTCTAATCTTCCTTCTTTCAATATTGAAGTTTTCCTTTTCAGTCATATAGTTTTGGCATCTGAAAAGTTAGAGAGTCTTTTTATCTTATTCTTCTTTTGAATTTCTTGCAATCATTTCCATTCTATCATCCTTTCACATCTTACATTCCAAACCTTTTTCTGGAACTAGTTACAAGTCATACTTTGCAGTTTCTTGATCCATCTTGTTGCTTCTTTTTCAATTCTTTTGCCATAGCATTTAAGGTCTGCCATCTTAAGAATGAGTTTACTTCTTATTAATCCTGCAAAGAAACTTAGCATATTTTGACTAGTTGCTGAGAACTGTTCTACTAGCCTGGATGTCCACTTATATACTTCACTCATTTTTTCACTATTATTCACTATTAATCTAGAATTCTTCTCTTCTGCTTCCTTTTCCTTTCCTGTGAAAGTTTTCTGAAATTTATCAGAACTCCTTCGAGACCTTTGTTCCATATCTTTTTTATTTGTTTCTTATATGCTGGACATTCTAGCAAATGATTAATTGTTTCTTCCTTCTGAAGATCATATACAGTACATTTTATTTGCTTGTATAGGTCTGACCTTCTTATTGTCAGTTTACTCAATATTGGTAGCTCATCATTCATTAGTTTGATCAGAAAGCTTTTTCTTTGACAATCTTTGAAAGATGTATTTCACGTATTGCTATTCATTCTCTCCTATATTAGACCCCATGTATGACCTTGTTATTCTTGAATTTGGTGGCTCCATTTTCTTTCTATTCTGTTTTGTAATATCTAATGATATACTGTAGTCTTGTTATTTATTTTCTTGATAAATTGTCTCATAGAATCATCTAAAGTTTTGTTCTGCTATTTGATTTCTGTAGAGATTTTGTATAAGGTGAGATTTTTCCATTCTATTGTTGAAAGTTTAAGAGCGTCTTTGGCTAAAGCATCTGCTTCATCATTATAAGGGTTTTGAGAATGTGCCTTGATCTTGATAAGCTTTAGATCTAGATCTTTTTTCTTAACCAGCTCTATTATTCATATCCATAATGACAAGTTTTTATCCTTTAACCATCTTTTATGTGTTCTTTTCAGATTATCTTTCTTAACTATTTTCTACTTTGAGATACAGGCTTGACTATCTGTAAAGATTTCAATTGAGCTACCTACTGGGACTACTAGAAGTATTATAACTATTGTTATTAGTTCTGCACATGTGAATGAGAGCCAATTGTCTACTCCTATTTGAAATCTGCTTTCTTTTCCTGTATCACTTATTTGAATCCATGCTGCTCCCATCTTTATATTGTCACTATCATGATTTATTAGTTATTTATCTGAATAGAAGGTTAACTTTTGTTTGAATTCTAAATTATGCTGGAGTATCTCTATTAGGTGATCTTGATATACTCCTTCTTTAACATTTTCTTTAATAATTGTTTTTTCTCAACTTTCTATATTTACATAATCCATCTTGGTACCTTGAAAAGTGGACTGCTAGACTGGCCCCTGTAGATTCTGTACAAATACTTGATTGCTATCTATTGTTTTTCTAATTGCTCTTTTCAAAGATATTATAGGACATGGGATTGTTGGCATCTGAGCTCTCCTAGTACTTTTTCTTGTATTAAGATATGGTATCATATATATCTCCTCCATATCTTCATTTATAATATAACTCTGTTCTTGAATAAAACCTTCTAAGCAACCCATACATTTAATTAGCTTTGTCTTTTGACTATTTTCACTATTCTGGTACTTGTAGTATTCGATTTTTGGCTTTTCTCTTAGAATCTTCTTGTAGTAGCTTTCCCCATATTAGTTGATAATTGATATTCTTTTTAGTTATCCATATTTTTTGTCTCTTGTCACGGTTAGGGCTAACTATAGAATATGTTGGCTTCCATTTTAGCCAATCTATTTTTCACATCTCTATAAGTTGATTTAAATGATCTTTGAAGAACATTCTGCTTATATTTAAGAATCATTATGGGATAGGACCTTTGCCAATTTTTTGGATAAGTTGGAGCATACACCAATTTCTCACTTCATTTGTTTCATAGTTGATGAGCTGATCTATATATATCAACTTATTGTTTCTTAGCGATAATATGCTTTATTATACTTCTCAAGTGAGAGATATTCTCAGATCAGACTATTTCTCTTTTCCCATTCAAAGATATCATGTCATTTTTAATTTTGAAAAGTAATTTCTATATCTCTAGCTAACTTAATTACTTGGA